GGACTTTTTGATGGAACTAACCAGCTTTTGCGTTACATGGAGAGGAAAATCACGAGAACCTCCCACGGTTAGCATGATCGCAAAGGGACTGTAACCCATGATCCGTCTACCACTGAGGATATTTTCGTATCTCTGATTTCAAATTTACTATCTGTTTTCCTCTCACAACTACAACTTTTTTAATGGTATTTTTTATCGAAATGTCATTAAAAAAAACAAATGCCAAATTTAAAAAATTATATAAAACAAGGGGTTGCATAAATGTTGCGAGAAACTTCTAAGGGGTTAGGGGACATCATCAGGAAAAAAATTGCTTAGAAGTATGGGGAATGCTTAACTATCGACCTTGCCAACCTTCATATATTAAAAGATACCTCAAGATAGAATCGAGTTAACATGTCCTATATACTAGTAATTTGGTATTTAATACTTGTAGTGGTAGTTAAGCCGCATTATTTCCCTTCCAGAGTTTTATCTGTGATAGAATTCGATGAACGATTACCACTAGTTGATTCATGCTGTTTATATATATGTATATCATTTTCACTGATTATATTTTTTCTTCATTTTTTATAGCATTTTGATCATTTTTTCTTATTTTTTTGTTTATAGCATATCGCTCATTTTTTTTTCTTCAATATTATTTATTGACCGGGAGACTTTATTTACTTCACCGGATTTTTTTTTTTTTTTTTGGAGTAAATATATTAAGCAAATCAACTATTTATTGTGGACCAGTCATCATGTTGACGAGTTTATATCACGGCCGCAGGTCACCATTGTGGGGATTTAATTCTTTGACCATGCCAACCTTCATCTATCAAAAGGTACTTCAAGATAGAATCGAGTTAACATGTCTTATATACTAGTGATTTGGTATTTAATACTTGTAATGGTAGATACGCCACAGAAGCCTATGCCCAGAAATGTCATATGCTGTCCCGTTATAAACTGTAAGAGCCCCTAGTCGCGTATGATGACATTTTCGAACAGGGGTTCCCATGCAGTTTTAATTCTGATGATGTGCTCAAACTCCCCAGAACTTTGTCGCAACATTTGCGTAACTCCCTGTTATGTATGAAGTTTTTAAACTTGTACATTTCGACAACAAATAAACAACAAACGTCTTTTTAAGACTATATGTACCTTTAAGAGCAAAAACTAACTTCAGATTTGAGATCAAGTATGAGCATAAATGCAAAAAAATGTATTACTCGTGTGATATTTACGATTATTAAACCACTTTTGATCTGTTGATTTACAGAGTAAATCGAAATTGCAAAACAAACAGATAAAATTCTGAATAAGCTTAAACTTGTACATGTACAATTTTATATTGAAGATGTTGGTTTTAGATTTCGTGTAGGTACAGCGCGAAAAGTAAAAAAAGCAAGCACCTTAATAACTTTCGTTTAAATGATCAAATTTTCAAGTATTTTTACACAATCTTAATAGCTAGTGGCCTTTACCTGAAATCTGCTAATTAATCAAAAGAAGAAGATAAACATATCTTCAGAAACGTATAGATCACAAAAATGTATCCTCTGTGTATAAGCATGCACTTTTTAAAACGGATTTGAATTCTTGACCTTCAACGCATGGAAGGTAGCCGCAATTTTGAAAATATGGTCCCAGTAGATAGAAAAGCGGTCATAAGTTTGTTGTTTCTACCCTAATTTCAATTATTTCGCCATCTCAAGGATGTTGTATTTTTATTTCTCAAGAACTATTCGATCGATTTCCTTTAAATTTCAGATTTTGTCATTTAAAATTACGCAGATTAAATTTCTATAAAAATTTGCGTACCAAACAATTCAATTATTATTAATAAATTAAATTCTAAAAAGTAATAAATAATTGTGAAAAAGGATTTTTACTAGGATCTTTATCCTTATAATTATCTTTGGATAAACAAGTTTATAATTATGTTCGAAAACTTTTTGTTTCTCTTGATGAATTCTCTAGATATGCCGCAATACGCCAAAAGTGGCATGGTGATAGAAATCTTTTACGTACGTGATGCGCACGTACGTAAAAGATTACGTGCCTGTATTAATTGTTTTTCTACGAAGGGTTTTTACGAATTTCCGCATAACCAACAGTAGGCTCTGTAGTTTGGCATAATAATTATTAATATGTATTACTTGATAGCAGACAACAGATTAAAATGAAAGGCTTATTGGGAAACCTAACAAATATCGATATGTTTTTATTGTTTACAATTATTAAATTCGATTGTCAATAAATATGGCCTTTTTATTCATTGCACCATTCTACACCGAACCACTCTGCAATAAAAGTTTTAAAATGTCGATGAGTGTTGAAATTTAGCTAAATTTTGCTTGCAACATTTTAGAAAAGAAACTTTGAACTTCAGACTTGTTTAACTATCAGGCAGAGTGTTACCAATCGAAATTTGAACACTTAGCTTGTAGTGATTTCGGTTGATCATTAATTTTGTTTAGAGATAAATTCTGATTATAGCGATCAGTAAAAGGTTAGAATTTGTATGTCAGCAAGGAAAGATTTCTAGTTGAAAGTTGAACTCTCTAAACCAGGCATATATCTAGGTCAATATATTTTATAACCGTTGTTGAACAGCCGATCCAATTTTTTGGTTACCGACTACTTATGTGTAACCTTGTAATTCTGAACCCAATCTGGAAGACAACGGAACTCCTGGATCAAGTATAGGGAGAAATTTGCCTCCGTGGAGGACTTTTCAATGGAAGTAACCCGTATTCGCTTTACATGGAGCGAAAGACCTCCCAAGGTTAGACTGACGGCAAGAGGACTCTAACCCATGATCCGTCTCCCACGGAGGATATTTTACGTCAGCACTGTGGTCGGTGCGAACCGGGTGTGGAATGCGAATCAACTAGCTATCGCTGGGATTGAACCCGGGTCATCTCAAAGGGAGGTGAGCGCTCTATCTCCTGAGTCTCCACGGTTCGAAAATATTGCGGTGAAAACACTGGGATTCGAACTCCCATTAAGTCGATTATGAGATTAATAGCTCAGCCCGCTCGGCTACAAATTGTACCTATTATTTTTCAGAAAAAGAAATGGAGGAGCTTGGAGTAGCAGTGGTCGGTGCAAGCCGGATGTGGAATTCGGACCCGTTTCACCTCATTGGAATGCGAATGCTCTATCCCCTGAGTCATCACAGCTCTTAGATCAGTATATTTTATGTTATAAACATCGTTGAACAGCCGACCCAATTTTGGGTTTACGACTAATTTTAAGTTGGGTTGATGTTCAACTTCGTACCCTTGTAATTTTGAACCCAATCCAGAAGACAAGAGAGCTCCTGGATCAAGTATTTAGAGAAATTTGTCTCCGTAGAGGACTTTTTGATGGAACTAACCCGCATTTGCTAACCCGCATGGAGAGGAAGACCTCTCACGGTTAGCCTGAGAGTAAAGAGACTCCAACCCATGATCCGTCTACCACTGAGGATATTTTATGTCAGCTTTGTGATTCGTGCAAACCGGGCGCGGATTTCGTATTGCCCAGCCATCGCTGGGATTCGAACCCGATCCACCTCTTTGGAACGCGAACGCTCTTATCGCCTGAGCCACCCCGTCTCTAGATCAGTATATTAACTATTACGTATGAGACTGTGTCTCATTATATTAGACTGAATTGTCACAACAAAGGCAGTGTTTCTTCTCGGACAACCCCCTCTATGTGGACAATGGTTGAAGCTAGTAAACAATAGTTGAAGCTACGCTTTGTCCTCATTTCTAATTAAATAGCTGGACAAAGCTAATTTATAAAATTAGATATTTGCTTCAAAATAAAAAATTTCATTTATAAATTTTAAAGTTCATTATTGTCTTTCAATTGACCTTTAAAAAATTCACAGGTAAATTTAAAACCTTATTAACAACGACTTCTTATTTAATGAAGATACTAAGAGATAATTTTTTAATGATTGTGAATCGAGAACACCTTATTGGCGATCGAAATGGGCTACAAGTGGGGCAGAGTAGTACTCTCTACCTATGGCAAAACTTCGCATATTTTCACCATTAGCGCGTGGATAGTCATAATAAGGGAAGCAGAGCATAACAGTTTCTGTCCTGATTTTCAAATAAATTAAAAAAATTTAAGTTAGACAACTATATAGGACCTGAAAACTGCATTAAACTAGTTCTAAATGAAAGTGTCATAGAAATTTTAAAAGATACTTTTGAAAATTAAATACGAAAAATATTATAGACGAGAAAAACGTAGTACATTCCCATAAAACTGAAGTGAGGAGGGTCAATATATAAAGCCTTTCTTCTCCCCCGATGGAGTATTCGAGCGTTGCGATCGCAAATATTTTCCATTTCCATAGTATTAAACACGTTTTCAATTATCTCGGAATAATTTTTTTTCATTATCTTGTATTAATTTAGGACAAAATAAATGAAAAATACCATATTTAGCATTTTAATAATTTATGGTTATGAAATACAACATAAAACACTGGTGTCTTTTTCTGCGTTAAAGATAAAATCTCCCAAACGCGGCTTACCTCCAAATAACAATTTTTCAAATTTACGGTTATTTATATCTAAGGGAAATAGTTATTCATTATTGAAATTTCCTTAATTTAAAAAAACAGTTATTGAAAAAAGTTTGAATATGAATTTGAAAAGAATTATTTTTTTCCAAACTACTTTTTTTTTTTTTTGGTTTTAATATTTTAGTACAAAAATAATTCCGATAATCTAACAGATTTTTGCTAGTAACTATTAGACTGTTTCTTATTAAAAAATTCCGAAATATATTTTGACTTGTAATTAGAAAATAAATATAGAAGAGATGACAACATACAGATATATATGCATACAAATACAACATACGTACAAATATACAGATTTTTGCTAGCATCTTATGACTGTTTCTTATAATTAAAAAATTTCGAAATATATTTTTACTTGTAAGTAGAAAATAAATATAGAAAAGATGACATCATACAGATATATATGCATACAAATACAACATACGTACAAATATACAGATTTTTGCTAGTAGCTATTAGACTGTTTCTTATAATTAAAAAATTCCGAAATATATTTTTACTTTAATTAGAACGTAAATATAGAAAAGTTGACAACATACAGATATACAGATTTTTGCTAGTAACTATTAAACTGTTTCTTATAATTAAAAAATTCCGAAATATATTTTTACTTGTAATTAGAACGTAAATATACAAAAATTGACAACATACAGATGTATATACATACAAATACAACATACATACAAATATACAGATTTTTGTTAGTAACTATTAAACTGTTTCTTATAATTAAAAAACTCCGAAATATATTTTTACTTGTAATTAGAACGTAAATATAGAAAAGTTGACTACATACAGATATATATACGTACAAATTTAACATACATACAAATATACAGATTTTTGTTAGTAACTATTAGACTGTTTCTTATAATTAAAAGATTCCGAAATATATTTTTACTTGTAATTAGAACGTTAATATGGAAAACCGTTGTCTCATCTGTGACAAAGGGATAAAAACTGTGTATTTCTAAATTCTTATATTCTGTGTATTTCTTAATCCGTGTTAATTGAAATTTTCCGATTCTGCGTTTGCAAGCTTATGTATAAATATATATTTTTTTTAACATTGACTGAGCGAAAACTGAACTCAGTGTCTGTATTAATTCGATACTTGTCAAATAGTAATAATTTGTTTCTTAATATCTAGCGGGTGAAATGACGGCGATGATTGTTCTCAGTCAGGACTATGGATACGTCATTATTGTTGGTGTTCTTTCAATGTTATTTGCCTGGACTCTAGGAGCTGTTGTCTTCAGGGCAAGAAAAACGTATAAAATCGAAGTGAGTAAAAAGTTGTTGGATTATATTGTTCATTCAGGCTCAATAAACAAAACTCATTAAAATTAGTAATCATCAATAATTTTTATTTTTTTTAGAACTAAAACATTTTAATGTTAATAAAACAGGGTTCATGCGCACCTGGGAAAAATTAAAAAGTGTTAGCAAGATTAATATAAATGTTTTTATATTATGTTTGTAGCCATCAGAATATCATATTTTCTCTAAGTAAATACCATATAGATATGAAATTTTATTTTGATATTAAGAAATGTTCAGCTTCTTTATAACAGAATTGATTCAGTTACAGCCCCTGATTTAGACAGGCCGACTTATCATTTATTTTGGAGCAAAAGCTTTTCCTCCATCAATGAAGAGCTACAAGATTTGGTGACTTATCGCTAGAAACGACGTTAACCTCAACTATAGGATACAGTTTTTCAATCGGGACATTGAATTTTATTTAAAACATAAAATGAAAAGATCAATTAAGATTTTTAGCAATTATTATTATATTAATAGAATAAATATAAACTAGAGTTTTATGAGTAGGGTAAGAAACGACGCATGATAAATTTATAAATAATTTATTTAAATAAACATCTTCTTTCAAATCACTTTTTCATAACATTTACTTAAATAGGTAATACATAAATAAGGAATACAATTTTAATACACATTTTAATACAATTAACAATACAATTTAAATACAATTTTAATATATCTATATGTTATTCATTGCTAGATAGAAATAGTTTTTACACATTTTTGGTTCTTTAATAATAAAAACTAAGCAAATGGAGAAGAATTAGACTATACTAGACTTATACTAGATTCAAGCTTATCTAAATGTGATCCAGGTTTTGGACAGCCTATTTCTTTCAGTCTTTTTTGAGGAATTTTATCGGAAATTTGAACATTGAAACTTGTTAGAATAGCATCAGGTTTTAATTTATTGTGGCCATCTTTTCGATTTATTTCTAGTTGAAATTCTTCAAAATGAGCCTACAAAAATAATTAGAATACGTTTTTTTTTTCATACTTAAATTTAATCACATTAAAAAAATTTAGAGTTTACAATTTTTAAACATACTGCCATGAAATTTTCAAACAGAGAAACTAATTATTTCAGCAATTTAAGGCAAGAATTTCAAAGAAGAAAAAACATTGGTAGATCCAAAAATAGATGAAAAATCGCATATTGAATAGATTTCTTATGATAAATGTAAACAAATCGTTTGAACTTTAGGCGATATATTACCATAACTAACTAAAGAACAAGCTTGAATTAGCCAAGATTTAGATCTACTTGATCTTAGTGAAGTAGAAAGGAATACAATAAAAAACAGGTAAATATTTGTTTTCAACAAAAAGAAATACTTAAAAGTGAATGGAAAAATTGGCGATTCTGAAATAAGTTTGGCGAATACTTATTCAGCCAATATCTTGCCTTTATTTATTAGTTTCATTGCACATAAGCACTTAAAATTGTTAAATAAAGCAATAAATATTGCTTAAAAGTCATATTTTAAATAAATATATACTTAAAAAATGCAATTTTCAATGAATATTCCTATATTTGGTACATAGTTAAAATTGTACAATTCAAGTAGTTAGTCGCTTATTTTTTTTTTAAAAAAAATAGACGAAAACAAACCTTTAAAAACAAATTCTAACAACTTAATATCGTTTATATACTACATATATAAGTAAATAAATCTAATAAATTATAAATAAATAAATATTTACCTCACATAAGTGAGCTCCACTTCCAGGCTGCCAGTTGTTTCTTCTGCAATTTATTATCCATTTCTTCTTTCTTTTCACATTTGAAGGAAATCTGAACATGCGGAAGCCTTTTTTTGAACTGTTTGTGCAATTTGCTGCAGCCCAACCACCCATATCAATAATTTTAGGTATCTAAATAGTCTTCAAACTTTCACGCTAATACTAACATAACGCTAACTTGCGAACTAGTTTGCTCCAATTTAGTTGATAGTTCAGCTCTGATAGTAGCCTTAGATTTAGTTATTAATTTTTTACATGTGCGTACGAATCCTGTATAAATATATGAAATCCATTGAACCATTAGCTAATTTTTTTACTTCGTATTAATCCTATCATTTTTTTTAAGAAAATTCTCAATAGTGGAATTTCGGCTACAATTTTCCTAAAAATTATTTATTAATAATTTAAAAATAATATTTTTTACTATAAGCAATAAGAATGATAAAATTGCCACGATTAAGAATACCATAGCAATGTTTTTTAAGTGAATTATTCCGTTCACATTGGCTATTTCTACTTAGTTTTATTTAATTTTCGAAAATTCCTTAATGAGTAATTTTGACATTTTTCAGTATCCAACAATGTACAGTGACACAAATATGAAGTTTAACTGCATGCAGAGAGTGCATGGAAATTAGTAAGAAACATTTTTATCAATAAATTTTATCTATGAACATTTTTATTAATTAATTTATCAATATAATTCTTTAAATATTTTGAATAAAAATATTTAAAGAAGTGTATTAACTACATTAAACTCTTAGTAAATAGAGTAGGCGGCTCAAAGTTGTGCAATTTCTCCTCTCTCTCTACTACACCTTTCCCCTCTCCGTTTCCACAGTTTCAGCGATTCTTTCCCTTTCATCATGGTAGTGCGTTTTAGCAAAAAGTTCAAATATACTGCTGCGGAAGAAAAGTAAGATTTGCCGAACCCTTGGTAGCTGAGAGGGGAGGATGAGGAGAGTGTAGAAATCGTTTAACTTTGAGGCGTCTATCCTATTTACAAACATGGTAAATAATACAAACAAATACAACTGTGTACTCAATTATTTCGAATAATTTTCTTTGAATCTTTTTCCCCAATTTTTCTTTTTCTTCACGGTAATACGTTTTATTCAGAAGTTAGAAAGGGAAGGAAAAACAAGATTTACCGAAACCATGGTAACAGAGAAGAGGAAAATTAAAAAAGTGTAGAAATAACGTAAATTTGAGTCCCCTATTATATTTACAAAGAGTGTAAATAATACCAACACATACAACCCGGTAATAAATTATTTTAATTATATTTGAAAAAATATTTACACTGTAAGTAACTTTTAACTACAGATTTTTACTTACTGCAAAATGCAATTTTCATCACTTGAGGTACCTACCTAAGATTGGATTTCATGATTTGAAACAACAAAAGAATTCATTTCATGATTCGAAATCTTGAAATCTGACGCTAAGTATGGCGAGTTTCTAATGGAAACATTCACGTAAAAGGTAACTTTCAGTATTTTTTTTTTTTAATTCTTCATCCAGCATTAATTTTATAAAAAATTCGTTTACTTTTTATATCGAATCGCGTGATAGAAGACGATATGAAAAGTTTCAAAAATATCGATGAAATTTCTTCAAACGATTCTTTTTAGTCCCAGTTTCCTAGTTCGCAAGATTTCAATATCGTTTTTTTTCTCAGTTAAATATTGTGAACTGCCAGTGTGTTTATTTATTCTAACATTATTTAATGATTCTAAAAATGCAATCAAGAGCGGGGATTACTAAACAACATGCATATTTCATTCAATTCTGTTAAAATAACTATTTATTTCAATAATAGTACTAATTTTAACTTTCGTTTTAGTCTTGAAAGTTTTCCTACCTTTTTGGGGCTACTGTTTTGTGGTGGACTAGCACATCCTGTAAGTATTTATTTTTTTCTGATAATGTTACGTTATTTAATCATTCTTTAAATAAAATTTATTTAGAATAATAAATTTTGAAATCATAAACAAAAACGTAGGGGTTTTTTTTAAATTTATTTCGTAACGAAATTTTTAGACATGGATTTTAAGACATATGAAAAATTCTAAAGGTAATTTTAATCCTCTTCATTTAATTTTTACAAATAAACTGAGAGTTGATTTTCCTCAATTTGGCATTATCTTCCGATACATGTAAACACAAAACTGTCTAATTAGAATTTAAGATATAAAGTTTGCGATATTTTATATCCTATTTAAAAATGAAAATAAATAAAAATTAATAAATAAAAATAAAGGAGAAAAAATTTTGATTGATTTATTACGATCACTGGTTACCCATCTTTCAAATGATATTTTTTCTTTTTTTGGGGGGTTAACTCTGATAAACTCCACAACATTTCGAATCATGTGTTGCAAAAACTGTCTCGATTGATGTTTGTCGTCGGATTTGTTTTCAAATCCTACCTATATCCGTATTTCAAGAAGTCACCTTCCTTCTTCAGTATTCATATTTATATTAAAATCACCGTCAAGACAGTCATTATTAGTTAATAATAAAAATGCTTTAAATTATTATTATTTAAATACATTAATAATGCCTGCTGGTGAAAATGAAAAGAAAAAAACTCACCAACTTAATGCATACCGCTTTGTGCAGCGGGGGCTACTTTCTGCAAATTCAAATTTGGCATTTTTCAAGTGCTGCTATTCAGTATTATGTTCATTTCACGTTAAAAATGTGCGGAATTTGAAGATAGAAATCTCTTCTAATACTACAAACATTTTTTCGAATTTTAAAACAATCTCAGAGTGTATTTCGTTCATCCAATGNTAAAAGTGAAAAAAAGAATTCTAAAAATATTATCAAACAGCAGCGGTCGCCATAGCAACGCATGCGCACTGTTTACTAATTACTCTTGAATGCGGTTGAAGAGTGTGATGACGTGCAAATAAGGTGCGCAAGCCATCAAACCCAAAACAACACCTATTTTGCCAATGGGTAAAAAAATGACACAATTTGACAAGCAAATAACAATCTACTATACAATTCTGTAATCTTGTCTTGAAAGGTATTTAAATAGTATACATTTGTCTGCTTTTAGATTTTTTATAAATATCATTGTTTTGTGCTATTATGAATCTTTTCCCATTATCCGATTAAGTTTTCACCAGTTTAAACTGTAATAAAATAAATTTTAAGAAAATCGATAAATTGACAAATGTATAGTTTTAAATCGCTTATTTTTATTGCTTTAAAGTTTGGAGAAAGAATTCCGCTGAAGTTCTTTTAATTATTATGCACTATTTCTCCTAATCTAATGAGACCACCCCATTATTTTACACCTTTTTTGAACAGAATTCTATTATCTAAAACTACTATATCATCAAAAGTTTGTTAAGAACAGAAGAAAAAAGAGGCCTCTTAAGGTATGTTGAGTCGGTAGTCTTTATGAACGTAGGAATTTTAATTAATAGAAATAATTTGTAACAGATCTACAGGGATTGGTTTAAAGTATGGAAACACTTGTATACTAATTCTATCTAAACAATGTTTTCGTTTTAACAGCAAATATTTTGAAAGATTTTATATGGCGAAACTGATGGCACGATTTCGAAGATCATGCTTTTAGAAATTGTGCCATTTCTATCCATACAAAATTTGGATAGATTAAAATTAATGAGCGTAAGAAATTGAAAGCTTCCATCATTTTTTTAATATAGTTATAATTAAAAAAAAAAAATTTTTATATAAATATTGATATCCTATAGAAAAGTTTCAAAATTACTAGTATTAAATTTAGAAAGAATTTATTTACTTCCTTGTCTCATTTTGGTCGATCCGAATTATAAAATAATCCAAAACATTTGCAGCTTAATGAAATACTGTTTACATAGAATTAGTATAGAAGTGTTTTTATAATTATTACTCCTGTATTTTACAAAGTTGTCCCCCGTAAAATAATCCAAAACATTTGCAGCTTAAAGAAATATTGTTTACGTAGTATAGAAGTACATTAGTATAGAAGTGTTTTTATAATTATTACTCCTGTATTTTACAAAGTTGTCCCCCGTCTTATGTTCACCTAACAAAGAAACATTATTCTTGATCTGAATAACCTGGTTGGTAGGGCGTTGGGCCCATGTCCAAGAGGTTGTGAGCACAATCCCCATGTAGTAAATGGTGACTGGTGTGCATTAAATCTGTCGGTCACAAAGTCCTCCATGTTCCCAATAAAAAATCATATCTCTGAGGTATTGAATTGGAAATTGATCGTTCTCTGGTTCAGGTCAAAATTATCATCTGTGGATGTATAATAGGGTCTGTCTTATAAACAGGTTGTGACGTGGTTATGGCTGAGGTCATAATCTTGGCACCAGATGGGGCCACTAAAAAACAAGTAATCTTGTTTTTAGTGGCGCCCTCTGCTTTAAATACGCTTGGTTTCACCAAGCAGGCTTGCTGAATTGGCAAGAGGCATTAAATTATTTTAAAATAGCGAAAACACCGTTGTTAGGCAACTTCGAACACGATTTTTTTTCTCTGCGGTAGTTAAGCAACGTATGTATTTGAGACTAACTTTACTTTACCGTAGAGAGTTCCTTTTATTAATTTTAATAAATTGGCTTGAAATTCGCTGCTAAACTTTCCAAACAATAATTCGAAAAGTTCATAATTTTCTTTCGTTTTATTTAATTATAAATTATTTTATTTTTATTTAATTATTAAAGTCGTATGATAACACTGTTGATAAACAAATAGTTATATGTATTTAGAATACAGATGTAAGTACACTTTAAAAGAATATATTAAAAATAATTTTTCATATTAAAGTTGCCCACCTAAGTTTTAGTAGCTAATTAATGCTAAGTATTAAACTCAATTATGTAAAAACTCCTTTTTAAGTTAATTAATATTATAATTAGTAATATATATAAAATGTTTAAAAAAAATTTCAGAATTGCTAAAATATGCAAAATTTTAAATAATTAATAACCATTATTGGTAATCGAATTTCAATTTGAAACAGCACTTACAAGAAGTATTACTCATAATCTTAAACTATGCGAAAAATAAAGAGCTATTAATTATTGATTTTCATCACAATTTATGTATTTCAAGAATAATTTTAATCTTTCCCTCAAAATTAAAACGCTCTTTACCTACTCTTATGCTCTTTGCTGATTAATATATATTGCTCATTTTATAATTAGAGAATGCTAATTTTATAGTTAGTGAGTTCTAGTTTTGGAATTTTTTATTTCAGTTCTATTGCGCTATTGCTGGCCTTGTGTATTTACTTGGAAGGCTTGTCTATTCCATTGGTTATAGTACTGGAGGTAGGAAGATTTTTTCTTTTCTGTATTATTTAGCGTGCGCAGTTTTCTGCACCAAGGCTTAATTAGATCAGTTTCTTAACTGTTACATATCAGCGGTCTCATTTTACTCCCACAGACTGGACAAAACCAATTTATGAAATGAGATACTTGCTTTAAAATATAAAATGGGATTTATAACGTTTAAAGATATTTAGTCCTTCAATTTAGCTTTAAAAAATCGCAGGAGAATTTAAAAACTACACTGTATAAATATTTTTATAAGTTAGAGACTTTCTTAATAATCACTTATGGACCTTTACTTCTCTGATACAATAATAAAATTAATGAAAACGTTCAAAGTAATCAAGCAAATTTGAGATTATTATTGTTTTATTTAAAAATTATAATTGTAATGTATTGAATGTAATTTCAAAGGCACAATACGGTTCCCTACAACATCGAAATCCAGAGGCGTGGTGGCTCAGGGGATAGACCGTTCGCCGTCTAATGAGGTGAAACAGGTTCGAATCCCAGCAATGACTGATCGATACGAATCCTGTATCCGGCTTGCACCGACCACAGTGCTGACGTAAAATATCCTCAGTGGTAGACAGATCATGGGTTGAAGTCACCTTGCCGTCAGGCTAACCGTAGGAGGTTTTCGTGGTTTTCCTCTCCATGTAACGCAATTACGGGTTAATTTAATTAAAAAGTCATCCACGAAGACGAATTTCTCCTACTACTTCATCCAGGAGTTCCCTTGTCTTCTGGATTGATTTCAAAATTGCAAAGCTACGGAGTTCAACATTAGTAGTCGTAAACCCGCAAAATTGCGTCGGCTGTTCAACGTTTGTAAAATAAAATAAAATCGAAATCGAAACTTTGAAGAAAAAAATAACATCGAAACAAAATAACGCTATTAAGAAATTATTTAAAATCAGCGAAACTTTTTTGTCTCATTAAATAATGTCTATTTTACAAATATATATATATTTTTTTAATATTCAATATTATTTTTTAATTTTTCATTAAACTTATAATTTGGGACTTACATTGAGGCTTGACACACTGTAAAATTTAATGAAAGTACTACTTCGTTTTACATTAGATAAAAATGCTACTGAATTAATAAAAAAAATATGAAAGTTTTTCTTGCAAAATCGATCGAGATTAAAACTGAAGAATTCAGGAATGAAATTGAGGATACATAAAATGGTGTCCTCGTACGAAATATCAATAGCAAAATTATTCCGCGGGTGATATTCTACTTCAAATCATCGTGTGTTGTTAACTATTAATGAAAAATGGAAAGTTATATATTAAGGGCAGACAAGCTCCGGCGTGATAGTTTCAATGCTATATGGAAATGCTATTTAAATGGGACTTAAAAGTCCCATCAGTGCATAAAGGGTTAAAAGTTGCTTTCAATGGAAAAAGTATTTTGTATGCAAGCTCCTTGATGTTTCTCTGCAAATATAGCTGAAAAAATTTTTCTTTCGAAATCACTAAAATTCCATATAACGCGCCTTTGTAATTAAATTCTTCAATCATATGAGTAGGTTTATCAAGATATACAGCTATGTTTTATTCTTTGATACTATAAAATTTTTCCTATTTCATTTCAGATCCCAAGAAAAGATTATTTGGCCTGTTTTCATACTGCGGTCTACTTTTCCTGCTGTACAGGGTAACAAAAAAATATAGGGATCATTTTTGAATGTATATATTTCCAAAATTTATTACATAAATTCAGCGATGCTTCTCAATATGTCGACCTCCGGCATAATAGATTTGTCTACAACGCTTTGGCCAGGATTTTAAAGCCCGCAAAATGATTTTCTGGGGGATTTTCGTCACATCTTCTCTAATAGCTCTTTGAAGGATTCTCAATGTAGAACTTCTTCGCTTATTCAGTTCGTTTTTCAGATGGCCCCATAGGAAATAATCGCATGGTGCAGCATCAGGACTGTTTGGAATCCATTGTTCTGGTGTCAGGACTTGCACTTGCTGATCTGTTAGGAATTTCTGGGTGACCTTAGATGCATGCGATGGGGCAGAGTCCTGATGGAACACAGCATCATCATTATGGTACAATCAGCAGTAATCATCCTTAAGAAAGGGCTTTAATATCTTCTGTATATAATACTCAGAATTTATTTTGGTCCCAGGTTTCACAAGCCGAGGTTTGGTCACACCATGGTCCATCCAAACCATTGCGCCTTTGGGATGAGGCACCGTGGTTGATGGAGTCAAGTCTCACCTGTTCTACCCGAAACTAAGATATTGAACTTTAGATTTAGCATTGGTATCAGATAGATAGATCCAAGCTTCATCAGTTGTAATGAACTTTCACCATCTGTCCTTACGAAGAAGCTTGTAGAGGGGCCATGAACGTTGTCTCCTAATCTGTACCGATCTCTCACTTAAATGATGACATTTAGGTTTCTTATGGCATTTTTTCTTCAACTTTTGTTCTAGTTGATAGCTTACAACTTGCTGACTCACGTTAAGAGCTTTAGCCATGCTTGCCTGTGTTTGTGGATCCGATTTTGATGTCATCTTATCAAGCTTCTGCAAATCTGATTTCTTCAATTTGCTTGGCCGTCCACTTCTTTTTGGTTTTGCATTATCTTGCATCGATCCGAGTTTTAAGTTCTTGATGCGACTGATATGGCTGAGTGAAATCGCAATACCTTTCTTTTTAAAATGGGTTTGTATAATCCTGTGGCTCCAGAGAAGTTCTAAAAATGCTTGTACTTGACCAATAAGATTGCTTTAAAGTTTGGAGAAANAGTCCCATCAGTGCATAAAGGGTTAAAAGTTGCTTTCAATGGAAAAAGTATTTTGTATGCAAGCTCCTTGATGTTTCTCTGCAAATATAGCTGAAAAATTTTTCTTTCGAAATCACTAAAATTCCATATAACGCGCCTTTGTATTAAACTCTTCAATCATATGAGTAGGTTTATCAAGATATACAGCTATGTTTTATTCTTTGATGCTATAAAATTTTTCCTGTTTCATTTCAGATCCCAAGAAAAGATTATTTGGCCTGTTTTCATACTGCGGTCTACTTTTCCTGCTGTACAGCACACTTAAATTTGCAGTTAGGTTATTGGGGTGGCTTTAAGCGATTTCATTCGAAGTCGTGAAGAAAAATCTAACTTTCTTTCATTCATACTTGATATTTATTTTTATTTCGTTTTTTTTCTTTCTATAATATGATGTTTACGTGTTTCCATTGCATTTACCATATGCAAAGCGATAAATTATCATTAGCCAGCTCACTATTAGCGACCAAAAAGCTGGCGTAACATAATTTGATTCTAGAGTAACGGAATTTGACTTTGTAACAGTGCAATAGAGTTTAACTCTTGTGTAATTGAATTTTGACGATATTGTAACAGAGTTTTCTCTAGAATACCAGGGTCTGAGACTTAACAGATTTTGACGCAAAGGCAGCAATCGATAGATAATATTAGTATTTTAGTGCCAAAAGACATAGCTATAGAATCACGAGGTGTTAAAAGCGTCGAAATATTTCAGATGTTTTCTTATTTCAAAGACTTTTAATATTTATGTATATGATGTTAAAACCTTATACCAATATTATTTAAGGCTATTATTGTAATTATATTTTGCAATAAATATGTTTCCATTTTTCAACTTAGGTAAAATACTAATATACGTTACAGGGTTGCGCGATTTTGAAAAATGCCGCCAACGCCGAAATGACGCGTTGACGCTTGTCGTCAAACTGTTGCGAATGCCTGAAATGACGTTTTTACGATTGTGTCCAGGAGTTGGCGTAGGTAAAAACATAGAATGTCGTATCCTGAAAATGGTAAATGCATAAACTTAACCTGGAAAAGAGTATGTAAAAAAAATCAGAAATGCATAAACCAATAAAAGACAAGCATTCCCGAATTTCAAATATTGAAAAATTATACAAGTCAGTAATGCATCTTTAAGCTTACATATTCACCCTCACGAATTATCAACCGTAAAATCATACCACAAATTGAAAAAAAGAAATGCAAAATGGCTGAAAAGCAATAACCCATCGAATCTCCTCAAATATAACTACAGATTGCAAACTTAATTGCCCTCCCCATCTCCAATGTCGCAAAATACACCATATAACGTACACTAAGATTTAAGCCTCAGTTTCTACATACTATGTTAATTTTGGTCATTACAAAGTTCTTTATACTACACTTGTTCATGTTTAAAAAATTGTTAAAATTTTTTCGTGAAAATAGTGGCGAGCAAACCTTTTAGTTTCGTATTAGTACCTTTAGAACAGAAATTTTGAGCTCTGCCATTCACATATACGTTGTAATGTTTTTAATTTTTACATGTTAATAAATTTCTTTTACTTTCACTGGTTAGAATGAAAATTCTTAGATGTAACGCACAAGTTCATGAAGTTCTGAATTATTTATTTCATACTTATTTATACTTATCAAGTGATAGAATCCATCTGTCTCTGTCTTTTCCTCAAGCCGTTGCGGGCAATAAATTAATCATGTTGCTAAAATTGAAGTTAGAACATATCGAATTACCTTCAAAAAATCGTCCGACGCCGAAAAAAAGTTATTCATTGCAATATCCAAAGATATTCATTTTGAGATGGCTGAATGAAGCGTCTGCTCGTACCATGCTTGACTGAGTTTTGCTGTAAACAATTTTGCATCCTTTTTTTAACGCGAAAATCTCACAAATAAAAGTTTTTTCGTATTTTTCTGCTCAAATAAAATAAACAATGCGTGAAAAATAGTTTAAACCAAACATAGTTTAAACCAAAAATATAATTCAAGCGTTTAATTTTTCACAGCTATCAAGTTTATTAAACATAAACCACAGCTATGTTAATTTTTGTCTAACTTTGCATTTGATCACAACAAAGGTCAAGTTTTTGCATTTTCGCAAGAGTAATCATTCCGCATCATTGTTCCAACCAATGGTGGTGTTCCATGTTTACAATGACAATGCCCTAAAAACAATAAATTACATTAATTAATAGTATCAAGGTTATCAACTATGAAGTCTGTAACAGTGGTAAGCTCTTGTATTAATTAATATTTAATATTTTAGACTTATAGATTATGATAATTTGAAAATTAATGGAATTACACTGGTGTACAAAACTTAAGCAACAAGTGCGCTTTTTGTCATAACTCTACAAGAAATCATCCGATTGACATGAAATTTGAATATGATGTACATTATTTTGTACTTAAACGATGGTAAAAGAATTATGGCGCAGAAATGAATATAAAGCTTAAAATAGGGTATAGAACAAAAAAGGCTTTATTTGACATATAGTGGCGTTACGCATGATTGCCTGAAGAAGCGTAAGTACAACTGGCAGATGTTCCCTAGTATGGGNTTCCTTTACTGGTTAGAATGAAAATTCTTAGATGTAGCGCACAAGAGAAGTTCATAAAGTTCTGAATTATTTATTGCATACTTATCTATACTTATCACGTGATAGAATCCATCTGTCTCTGTCTTTTTCCTCTCGCCGTTGCGGGCAATAAACGAATCATGTTGCTAAAATTGAAGTTAGAACATATTGAATTACCTTCTAAAAATTGCCTAACACTGAAAAGAAATTATTCATTGCAATATCCAAAGAAATTTATTTTGTTATGGCTAAATGAAGTGTCTGCTCGACTGAGTTTTGTTGTAAACAATTTTGTATCCTTTTTTTAACGTGAAAATCTCACAAATAAAAGTTGTTTTGTATTTTTCTACTCAAATAAAATAAACAATGCGTGAAAAATAGTTTAAACCAAACCAAACATACTTTTTAGAACTCATTCGTTTAATTTTTTACAGCTATAAAGTTTATTAAACATAAACGACATAGATATGTTAATTTTTGTCTAACTTCGCATTTGATCACGACAAAGGTCAGGTTTTTGCATTTTCGCAGGAGTAATCATTCCGCATCATTGTTCCAACCAATGGTGGTGTTCCATGTTTACAATGGCAATGCCCTAAAAACAATAAATTGGCATAATTAATAGTATCTAAGTTATCAACTATGAAGTCTGTAACAAAGGTACTCTAGCTCTTGTATTAATTAATATTATAGATTATGATAATTTGAAAATTAACAGAATTAAATAACTTGTTGCCATTTATTGAGCATAACAGGAATTAGAATGCTGTTGTATTGCAGTTCTAGCAGTCATTCTTAGTCTGAAATTATCGCCAGTCTGGCGCACTTTTCAGTTTGTCCAAGTCCAACAATAGAAATTCTTCTGTTTTGTTCTTATTTTTGACCATGTCTCATCCCCAGTTGAAATAAACTAACTCTATTGCTATAGAAACTGCCATCTACCAGACACCGTGACGGTGACTGTTTTGAGAGACAGTGAGTACTTAATTTTCTCCCTCTGCTTCGCACCCCTATATGTTGTGGAGATAATAATTTGTATTTATTAGTGCATACTTGTAACAGTCTCGTGTTGTATTGATATCTGCCATTACAAAAATTTGGTTATTGTCTTACTAATTTTGATATTTTACCAATACATGGTTTTGTTGTATTTTTAGTAAATAAACATTTTGTAAAAGATAGCATTTGATAATAATTTTTTCACCGTATCAAATTGTAAAAGAAAATGAAGTGAAGAAGACTATTTAATGTAGAGGGGATTTTTTACTTCTGAGAAAGATAAAAGTGCTCGTTTATGCAATTTTGACTATTTAAAGAATAAAAAAAATTATTTGACTCATAAAAAATACAAATATTTTAAATTAGAAAGTAAATCTCGAAAAGGAGTATTTATTGAAGAATACTTCTACTTTATTATTTTTATTTGAAGCAGTATTTATATATATGTAGTTGTTTGTTGTAAAAAAATTATTAAATATAAATGTTATGATAAGTTATTAGCTTTTTGTGAATACAAGAATTTTTATACTTTTATTTTAATAAATGGCTTAATGGTTTTTGTATTACTTCAATGTAATGCAATAAAATGGTAAAGCTGTACAAAAACTGTAAAATAATTTCACAAAAATCGCATTTATAGATTGGTAGGTACTTTATTTACGTCTCACTAGACCTGCACAATGAGCTATTGGCTACGGTCTGGCTACGGTAAGCACCCCTGAGGATGATCCAAAGACATGCCATCACTATTTCGTGACGCCACTTCTTCAATTTATATATAGATCTGAAGGGGAATTGCATTTACAGATGCATCAACTAATGCTGCCTCTTTTGTCAATGACTAATTTAAATGTGGCATCTCAGGGTAAAAATGTTCCCTACCTTTGGTCTATAAGCTTGGTTTCAAAAGGAGAGTATCTGCTTTGTGATTGGTCAGAAACAGATCGACCGATCTTAGTCATCGAACTTAAACTATCTAACTATCATGCTACAGAGATGAAATGGGCTCAGACCAAGCCGGGGCTTCAAGCGGACTCGGACTCATCTACTAAAAAAAGGCTCGGGTGAGCTCAGACTCAAGATAAAATTTTCAACTCTTTTTACAACTTTTAAACAAATGTTGGTTTTTTAATGCAAAAATGAAGGTTGTGGAACAATGCCTCGCATTCACTGAAAAAAAAAATCAAGTCTTGTAGTTACTTTTTTTTATAGCAAGTTTCATAAAAACTTTGCTAGTTAATTATTTATGTTTCATAAAAGCATTTGTCCCGCAGTGGACTGATCGTTAAGACACGGTTCCCAGCAGATCACTGAAGTCAAGCATCACTGGCTGCGGTCAGTGTGCTGGGTGGGTGACCACTTGGATCAGTCTGCGTAGGGACCGAGAGTGTGCGGTATTGGTCCTCGTTAAACTGTTCTACCGTAAAGTGCTCGACTTCGCGTGCAGGGCATCGGGCTACCGAAGCAAGGGTGCCATCCCCTCTGCAGAGGATCAAAATTGAGATGGCATGTCTTTGGATCGTCCTCAGGGATGTTTCCCAGACCGTTGCCAATAGCCCATTGCGCAGCTCTAGTGAGACGCAAATGAACTACAGCAACAACAACATAAAAGCATTTTGATTGTGGAATTAGAGCATAGCAGACTAAAATTTATCCCATAATTTTTGTGCCTGCCTTTGTATTAATAGTTAAAACCAGGCTCTGAAAAAATATTTACAAATCAATTACGAATAAACTTTACAATAATTGATGCATACCAGCGCAATTCCATTTGTGTACAGGCAGATCGAAATCATATGCTGGACCATAACCTGGGATATTGCGGTGAAAGTGAGGCAAAGGAAATGGCACTCGAAATCTGCAATCTGTGAGCCCTTTACCAGTGTCTCGCAAAAGATACTTCTTCAAGTTATCTGTATACTTGCAAGCTGGACACTCGATTTGCCAAACACCAGGAACTGCAAATAAGCAGGTCATTTTAACAATCAATATAATCTACATAAAACAATGGTTTGTGGAATCTAACTTGCCGAGAAGATACCTGAATCGGCAATCAGGCTGCCAATCATCGGGGTCAAATTTTTATTTATTTATTGACTAATGCCTCTATCACACGAGAGAAAAATATGTGCAACTGCAAGTGTAAGTGCAACTGTAAGTGAAATTCCTCCGTTCGGAGTTGCCGAAAGGGTTGCTTAATTGCCTGAACGGTTGCATAAAATTGGGTTACCATATTTTGTTATTNCAATGGCTCGCAGTCACTGAAAAAAAAATCAACTCTTGCAATTTTTCTTTTTTATAACAAGTTTCATATAAACTTTTCTAGTTAATTATTTATCATGTTTCATAAAAGCATTTTGATTGTAGAATTAGAACATGGCAGACTAAAATTGATCCTTCAATTTTTGAGCCTGTCTTTGTATTAATAGTTAAAACCAGGCTCTGAAAAAATATTTACAAATCAATTACGAATAAACTTTACAATAATTGATGCATACCAGCGCAATTCCATTTGTGTACAGGCAGATCGAAATCATATGCTGGACCATAACCTGGGATATTGCGGTGAAAGTGAGGCAAAGGAAATGGCACGCGAAATCTGCAATCTGTGAGCCCTTTACCAGTGTCTCGCAAAAGATATTTCTTCAAGTTATCTGCATACTTGCAGGCTGGACACTCGATTTGCCAGACACCAGGAACTGCAACTAAAGCAGGTCATTTTAACAATCAATATACACTACATAAAACAATGGTTTGTGGAATCTAACTTGCCAAGAAGGTACCAGAATCGGCAATCAGGTTGCCAATCATCAGGGTCAAATTTTTATTTATTTATTGACTAACGAACATGAGGGTATTTTTAACATATTGTGATAAATTTTAATTTTTCACTCCTATCATGAGTTAAGCAATTATAAATGGCAAACATCATCTTATCATTTAAATTTGAGATAAGCTTTCTTGGATCTGTATTCAAATCTTTATAGGAAGAAAATTTTACTTGGGAAGCTCAGTATATTTTTAAATAAAAAAAGAAATATTGAAATTCGTTTTATTTATTTATTTTATAGTAATATTATTTTGATCGGTCATACAGCTCGCAGAGTGCGTGCGTGGTTCGAAGAGCACCAGGATGAGTTTACTGTACTCACTTGGCCACCAAACTCCCCTGATTTAAACCCATTCAAGAATCTGTGGGACGAAACCACCTAGATCGGGTTGTTCACGCCATAGATTCTAAATTGCGTAACACAGCGCAGCTTCCCTCTCAATGGAACCTGTGTGACTCAACATCCTAGCGAACTCCTTCATTCAGTTCTTAATAGACTCTCTTCCAGCAACGGTCCCCTCTGCGAGTAATTCTTTATTTAAACAGGTGTTCACATTAATGTGTCTGGACTGTGTAACTTAAATAACATCTGTATCAGTAACATAATGGTCTGAGAACGTTTTTTAGACATTTCTCAAAAAATGTGAGAATTTCATAATTTTTCCTTCAAGAGTTTCTGCATTTGTGAAAGTAAATAACGTAAAACAGCGTTAATGACAATCTGTCAAAACCAGGGTCTTTTTTTTATTTGGTAATGCTGACAATAATTCAATTAATTTGGTAACTGACAATAATTCAATCTGCGTCAATTATAGTTAAGAAATATTTTTACGGTCTTCTAAAACAAGGCTGTGCCTTTTTTTTTTTTTTTTTTTTTTTTTTTTTTTTTTTTTTTNTTTTATTTTTTTAAATAAAAAAAAAACTTAAACACCTAAGTTTTTTATTATTTGTTATAACAATTACCAAATAAAACGTACTTTTTTCCTTTTGATCAAAGAAGAAGTCTTGGCAGNGATCATCCTCTTCCTAACGTCGCCGCCATTTTTATTTACATTTGTATATGTCATCACATAAAATTGAAACGTCATAAAAAGCAAACGATCTGATTGGTTCATGAAAGAAATTGCCTGAACGGTTGCAGATATTTCGTGCAACCGTAATTTCTATATCACACGAGCGATTTTTGGAGAAATTTCACTTACAGTTGCACTTACACTTGCAGTTGCACATATTTTCTCTCGTGTGATATAGCCATAACAAACATGAGGGTATTTTTTAACATATTGCGATAAATTTTAATTTTTGACACCTATCATGTGTTAAGCAATTATAAATGGCAAACATCATCTTATCATTTATATTTGAGATAAGCTTTCTTGGATCTGTATTGAGTTCTTTATAAGAAGAAAAGCTTACTTGGGAAACTCAGTATATTTTTAATTAAAAAAAGAAATATTGAAATTCATTTTATTTATTTATTTTATAGTAATATTATTTTGATCGGTCATACAGCTCGCAGTGTGCGTGCGGGGTTCGAAGAGCACCAAGATGAGTTTACTGTACTCGCTTGGCCACCAAACTCCCCGGACTTAAACCCATTCAAGAATCTGTGGGACGGGACCATCTCGATTGGGTTATTCACGCCATAGATTCTAAATTGCGTAACACAGCGCAGCTTCCCCCTCAATGGAATTGGTGTGACTCAACATCCCCCTTCATTCAGTCCCTAATAGACTCTCTTCCAGCAACGGTCCCCTCTGCGAAAGGTGGTGATTCTTTATTTAAACAGGTGCTCACATTAATGTGTCTGGAGTGTGTAACTTAAATAACATCTGTATCAGTAACATAATGGCCTGAGTATAGTTTTTAGACATTTCTCAAAAAATGTGAGAATTTCATAATTTTTCCTTCAAGAGTTTCTGCATTTGCATTTGTGAAAGTAACTAACGTAAAACAGCGTTAATGACAGTCTGTCAAAACCAGGTTCTTTTTTTTATTTGGTAATGCTGACAATAATTCAATTAATTTGGTAGCTGACAATAATTCAATTAATTTGGTAACTGACGATAATTCAATTCGCGTCAATTATAGTTTAGAAATGTTTTTACGGTCTTCCAAAACAGAGCTGTGCCTTTTCTTTTTTTTAACATAAAAAAAACTTAAATACCAAAGTTTTTTATTATTTGTTATAACAATTACCAAATAAAACGTACTTCTTTCCTTTTGATCAAAGAAGAAGTCTTGGCAGTGGTTTCTTCCACAGGCTGGACATAAAACGTATGGGGGAACAACCTATTAAGTTGAAATATAACCAATAAAGCGTCGAAATCAGATATTAATTCAACAGATTATCGAGCTGATATGCTGATTAACTAAGATGATTTGTTGAAGTGCCGAAAATTTTTTCAATTTTCAAATGCCAAAGCGATTTGCGAACTACCTAGAAAATCTGCACATTGCCTACTAGACACTTATTAGAGTGAAGATAAAATCTTTGCTGAAATAACAGCAACGTTTCTGTGTTCTTAAATTAACATATTTTATTTATTAGTTAATTCGCTATCGAAAAAATCAAATTACTACAATCAAACAATCAACAAATTAGTTAATAGAGTCGATCACTTTAAAAACTATAAAATAAGGAATCAAGCTGTTTGAAATATTATTACAATGAAAGAAGTGAACATAATGCCATTTAAGTAATCAGCTATTTAGTTGATAGAATGAGCCAAACAAACTTTTGAACTTTAACGATAAGTACGGGAGCCGTTAATTTGCTCAATACCAGGGTAAAATTCAGAAAACACTTGATTCCCCACTTTAACCTCCTTAGACATGCTGTTAAAAAAAAACTATATTTCTAACTCTTACCAAACAGAGATCGCCAAAGCCATGGAAAAATTGTAACCAAAAATAAAATGAACCCTTTGTTGTACTATCTAAATTGCTTTAATTTCTTATTAGATCAAAAAACAAAGAAAAAAAATAGTTATTATTATGAAATATTATTTTGAGTTTTAACAACTTTTCATCGAGTAAAAAATGTATTCATTCACATTATAGATAAAATTCAAATATTTCTAATTATTTTAAAGTCTTTGAATCTAATATAAACATAATATATTCATTTTTTTTTTTTTCATATTTGAGTTAAGTTCCTAAGAAAACACTTTTCATAAATGTATACGACCATGACTTTTAATGCCGGATTAAATAAACCCTTTCGAATAAAATAAACCCTTTACCATCTAGATTGCTTTAATTTCTTGTTAGATCAAAAACGAAGAAAAGAATGGTTATTTATATGAAGTATTATTATGAGTTTTAATAACTTTAGATCCATCAAATAATGTGTTTAATTCACATTATCGATAGAATTCGAATATTTGTATTCATTTTGTAAACATTGAATCTAATGTAAACATAATATTATTTTTATACTTGAATTAAGTTCCTAAGAAAATATTTTTCATAAATGTGTGTACTTACGACCATAATTTTTAATTTCGGAAATTTAATAAATTTACATAATGCTTCTTGCTACGAATTGAAGAAATTTTTATTTTTCTAATGAATGCCCACTAAGGATATTTTGAAAGACATAATTTTAAATTGTTTGTATTTTTCTAAGTTCTTTTAGCTGAGAAAAATTCTTATGCTGACCAAGTGAAACTATTTTTTGAGTTAAATGTGATAAATGAATAATTTCCCATTATAATTCTGCTGCTCTGCACTTCGCAGGAATTCTATCACTGAACGCTATTGGGAAGCTAGAGACATGTTGTGATTAATAGACTCTGTTGCAGCATCTTTTGTTTCTGTTCTTATTTTTATAAGATGTTTATGTATGCTGTTACTGTCTATAATCTGCCATTGGAAAAAAAAGAAAAAAATATTATTTGAGAAGCATCATATGAGCTAATATACCATTTCATTGAGTTATTTTCAGGAAATTATGTTTAAGTGCTTATCGTCTGTTCGTCATTGTTCGTTTATATTCGTAATCTAAGCTCAAACACAACATCAAAGATTATTCTCTAAAGCTTGCAATGATTGCTAGAATCTATTTTAAACAGTGATGACAAGTTAATCAAACTTAAATTCACTGGTCAAAAAGCATACTTATTGATACTGAAATAAAAATCAGAGTTAATCTTAATGCTACCAATGCTTCGGCAAAGAGGAATCGGAAACTGATCGTTGTCTTCTTTTAGAATAGAAACTTATAAAATTTGCAAGTTCTGAGAACGAATATTCTGTACTTGGGGAAAATGCTTTGTCAAAAAATACGTTGTTACGTTATCTTAAAATTCAAGTTAATTTAGTAAAATTTCAAATAATCAAGTAAAAATTCAATTACGTTATCCTAAAATATCCTAAGATTCAGTTTTTAATGGATAGATCAGAAACTGGGCACAGTTTCAAAAATTTGATAAAGATCCTAATTTGGATAATCATGTTAAATTTGTGTATCTATCACTAGCCATGGTGAAAGGAAGCATTGCTGAGGAGTTAATTAAAAGTTTGTCTCCAAATAGAGATAGCTCTGAAAAAGCTATAAGTAAACTTAAATGTAGATTTGGAAGAGAAGAACTATTAATTCAAATTTATGAAAGAGGTCTACTTTCCCTTGTCCTTCAAAAAGATTGAAATCAGAAAAAATCGCTGAGAGGTCACGATGATTTGATAAAGAATTAATTACTTGTCTTAGGGAACTTGGGCGTAACCAGAGATAAATATGCATCCATTGTTTTGTTCCCCATGATAATGAGAAAAAAAGAACTTGTGGAACTATATTTTTTATAATCTATATATATATTTCTCTTACACGGCGACAAAAAAAAGCCTCATTACAACTCCCCAAATGGCAACGCTAGAAAATCGACCAATGATTGCCGCTAAAAATGTCACATGCCAAATCTAGCTGAGGGGGCTCAACATATTGCGCTTTTAAAAACGGAAACTGAAATAACCAGAGAAAGCGGCAATCTCATACTATTAAGCTAGGCAGAAGTGAGTAGTCTTTGTCGATAGATATCTATTTTAGTATTTTGTCGAAAGTGCTTTTTTTACGAATTTATATATTACGAATTTATTTGACGATTTTTGATTTATATCACGAATTTATTAGTTTTATTATTGTTATTAGTTATTCATTGAAAAATGAGTCTCAGTCGTGCTGTTACGCTTCAAGATTTTATACTATAGCACATTTCTAATAGGTTTAACGAATTACATGTCATTTATTTGAATTCAAATTTATTTTAATGACTTAGTATTTACTAAGAAGATGTAATTTTGTTTTTAAAAAATGAAACATATAGCAATATGGATATACAATATGGATTTGAATTATTGTTTTGAATTCTTAGAATTTTGTGCATTTGCAATGTACTTAAGATAGTTGCGAGTAGAGCGAGTTTGGTTTGCGACGCAAACCATATAAGATTGCGTGGCAATTTTCGGGGGTTGGCGAGCGTTAGCGAGCAGGGGGCGCAGCCCACTAGTAATGTATATTTTTTATAATAATGTATATTTTTTATAATAATGTATATTTTTTATNAATCAGAGAAAGTACTTATTAATAGATACTGAAATAAAAATCAGAGAAAGTACTTATTAATAGATACTGAAATAAAAATCAGAGAAAGTACTTATTAATAGATACTGAAATAAAAATCAGAGAAAGTACTTATTAATAGATACTGAAATAAAAATCAGAGAAAGTACTTATTAATAGATACTGAAATAAAAATCAGAGAAAGTACTTATTAATAGATACTGAAATAAAAATCAGAGAAAGTACTTATTAATAGATACTGAAATAAAAATCAGAGAAAGTACTTATTAATAGATACTGAAATAAAAATCAGAGAAAGTACTTATTAATAGATACTGAAATAAAAATCAGAGAAAGTACTTATTAATAGATACTGAAATAAAAATCAGAGAAAGTACTTATTAATAGATACTGAAATAAAAATCAGAGAAAGTACTTATTAATAGATACTGAAATAAAAATCAGAGAAAGTACTTATTAATAGATACTGAAATAAAAATCAGAGAAAGTACTTATTAATAGATACTGAAATAAAAATCAGAGAAAGTACTTATTAATAGATACTGAAATAAAAATCAGAGAAAGTACTTATTAATAGATACTGAAATAAAAATCAGAGAAAGTACTTATTAATAGATACTGAAATAAAAATCAGAGAAAGTACTTATTAATAGATACTGAAATAAAAATCAGAGAAAGTACTTATTAATAGATACTGAAATAAAAATCAGAGATAATCTTAATGCTACTAAAGCTTATGAAGCGACATGTGACGCTGAGTTTGAGGAATCGGAAACTGATCAGTGGCTTCTTTTAGAATAGAAACTTATAAAATTGGTAAATTCTGAGAAAGAATATTCTGTGCTTCGAGAAAATGCTTTGTCAAGAAATACGTTGTTACGTTATCCTAAAATTCCAGTTAATTTAGTAAGATTTCAAATAATCAAGTAGAAATTCAATTACGTTATCCTATAACATCCTAAGATTCAATTTCAGTTTTTAATGGATAGATCAGAAACTGGGCACATTTTCAAAAAATTTATAAAGATCCCAATGTGGATAATCATGCTAAATTTTTGCATCGATCACAAGCCATGATGAAAGAAATCATTGCTGAGAGGTTGATTACAAGTTTGTCTCCAAATAGAGATAGCTATGAAAAAGCTGTAAGCAAACTTAAATGTAGATTTGGAAGAGAAGAACTATTGATTCAAGTTTATGAAAGAGATCTACTTTCCCTTGTCCTTTAAAAAAATTGAAATCAGAAAAAATCACTGAGGGGTCAACTATGCTTTGATAAAGAATAAATTACGTGACATATGATCATTACTAAGGCGCAACCAGAGATAAATATGCATCCATTGTTTTGTTCCACATGATAATGAGGAAAAAAGAACCTATGGAAGTATATTTTTTATAATAATGTACATTTTTCATAATAATATATTTTATATTGTATTAGTTTTATTTAGTTTATTTTATTTTTGTATTAGTTTTATTCTGTTGTAGTTAAAAAATCATTAATTTTTTTTAGCTTTTGATTTGTAATTTAATTTTAAACTCGATTATTTCTAAAATTATGATCTCATCAAGTTAACTATTTTCACTAATTCTATTGCAATTAGTCTAGATAATTGATCAAATTTTGAAATTTTTTATCAGTTTATGTATTTATTTATGAAATCAAATAGTCATTTAATAAACATCATCATAACCATTTTTATTGATTTAAATCAAACTGTAAATATTTTTTCTTATGTTCATATTAACAAAAAAAAAGATAGTTCATGATTTAAAAAAAATTTAAATGCTAATTGCATCACATTTATGCTATAAAAGCATATTTTGATTTCAAAAATCTAGTAATTGGAACGACTTTTTTTTCATTGGCTGAGTAATTAGGAGTCAGAAGAATTTTATAAATCATCTTAAACATTTGCTTTCCTTAAAGTTTTATATTTAAAAAAACCAAGCTCATTTGCTCAAGTATAACTCAAAAGTTTTAAAAAAATTAAAAAAATTTTTAATTTGGTTTTTGCACTGTTATATCTATTAGGGCATAAAAAGCAATGGAAACTTTGTATGGATACAATGAAAATTCCCCAATATTTTATACAGTTTTCCATTTAAATCGATATTTATTTATTATGTTATGTCATATTATAATTCTGTATAAGTGTGGGCTACAGCAACTATTTTTAATTTTTTTTCAACTGTACAATGCAAACAACTGGGCTTATTTAATTGAATTATACTTTTTATGGTGAATGTTGTAATAAAAATACTACTAAGCCTGTTATGGGATTACTTAAAAGACTCCGCAAAAGTGCACGTCAATGAAATTAGATATCCGAAAATCGATAAAATGTCTGTCATATCAATCTGAAGATTACGTGAGAATTGTGTGGTATAATATTGTTTTCCCAATAATTAGTTCTTAAAAAATAAATAAACATGGAAACTTTCTTTCATTTGTGGTGTATCGATAGTCTTTCGCAATCTTTATTTGGCACTTTAAAGCAGAAAATGAAGAATAAAATTATACAGCATTACGTTGATACAATGTACTGCACTTCCAAATCCTTTGATGAACTGTTCATGGTCTTGTTCTCCAATGCTAAATCGAGAAGTTTACTGTATGATAGACGTGAACAAATGGACTTAAGTCAGGATGAACTTAACAATTTAGCCCAGGAAATTTTAAAATATTCCACTTTAAAACGACTCGAATATTCAACTTCAGATTTACAGAATGGCGGATTCATTAATGAGAAAGTGGTTGACTTTCCTTTAAAAGCTTTTAGTTTGTGCCCGTGTACAAGGCGACCGCTGTATGTGGCGTTATATCTTAATAAACCCGATGTGTTGCGTTTGCTGCTCAACTGCAGCGCTCGCATTTCATACAAAGATTACTGTTCTTGCACTGTGGATCGAATACATCCTTTAGTAAATGTTCTAAGCATTATTAAAAGAATACCAGTGGGATGTGTGGATCCGGAAGAATTTTATTCTCGTAAAAAGAATTGCGTGGTAGCGTTGGAAGTTCTTCTAGTGGATTTGTCTTATTTCCACGCACTTTGGTGGAATGTTTGTGATGTTGTGGATATTATGAAAAACCGAAGAAGGAGTAGAACTGTTCCAACATTAAAACATATCAGCAGATTTCATATACGTCAAATATTGAGAGATAAACAGCAAATGTTTAACGAAAGGTGTTGGAAAAATTTAGAGTTACCACAAAATTTGGCATCTTACTTGACAATTGACTTGTTTTAAAGCATCATTAAACAAAATATTATTTCAAGCGAAATACTTGGTTGGATTGGAATATTATTTAAGCAGAAAAAGCAAGCATAGTTACTGCCTATTAATTCTCATCAAACTGAAATTTTAGTATTCATTCTAATTAATTAAAACTCATAACATATACTTACAATCAGCTCTTAGAAAAGGAGCAAAAGCAAAATTTATTCCACTCCCTTTTAAATTTATAAATTTTTAAAAATAAACATTTTAGAAAATTTTTATCAAAATAGTTTTCATTATTTCTTTGAACAAAAATTAAAGCGAAGGTAAAAAAAAATGAATTACTTCTATAATTTAATTGAATTTAACTTTTAAAAAACTACAAAATTGATTTCAGTAATATTTTTTTTTATATAACTGCCAATGTGCCTGATTGTTGCAATGTTTTATGATGGAAGGATATATACTTCTCTATGTATTTCCAGAATATGCTTTCAAAAATCGATGTTTTAAAAACCTATACACATTATTGGTTGCAAATTAATATTTAAGTATAAAATAAAAAGGACATAAAAATTTGACGAATCATTATAGTGTACAGTAAAAGAAAAGTTTGAGACAAAAGCATACGCGTAGTGTCGTGGGGGAAGCACGTGCCCCTCAATAATTTTTCAAAATTTCAGAATTTTTTTGAAATTATTACTGTAAAAGAAAACACTAGAAAACTATTTTTATTTTAACAAAAAGTAAGATCTTTAGTTAGTTTCTTAATAATTTAACGGAATAATTCTATATTTATCACTTTTTGGCGTAAGTGGTATCCAGAAAAAACATTTCATGATTTTTTAAAAAAAATTTTTGATCATTATTTAACGATTTTTATGTGGTAAATCGAAAAGTTTTAATATAATTTATAAATGTGGTTATTAGTTATTTAGCTTAATTTTTGCACAAAAT